ACACAATCACCCTATGCACAAGAATTCTTCTAACCGCTCAAGATCTTTATAGCAAAAGGATAGACCATGGAGGGTCCGGCGGAGCCAGAAGAACTCGAGAGGGCATATGGAAGAGAAACATAGCTGAATTGTTGAGTTGCTCTCGCCAGGGTCGGATAGGCATTTTATAGCCGGCCTGGAAGGATGAATCCAAGTTCCCAACTCTCGTAAAAGTTTTGAAGCATGGGCTCATAAGCTGACATAGGCGGCGACAAACAGTAGACCCCAGATCAAAATTCACTACCCATGACTGTACACCAATCGGGGATACAAACGTGATAATTTTGGAATAAAATTACTTTTATCCCAAAATTAGGGGCATGTGTTTACACCAAAATTTGGAAGAAGAGTCACAGGGACTCGAAAGCTCCCAAGATCATGCCATTGAGGGATCATTTGCGTGCAGACCAGAATCAACTGATTCGAATGCAGCACTGGAATCGGCTTTCTTCAGATAGCGCTAGCAGATAACGACAAAGACCACGATCGACGCCGGAACAAGGCACGTTGGATTCTACAAAAAAGGAAAGATTAGAGTCCAAGCTATCTTAAATTAGGAATGTTTTCTCTTAGGGCCGAAGGTTGTGATGAGTCGTGCTTAGATAGGAGTCATGCACAGGTCTCGGGTATAAATACCAAAGCCCAGCTATTGTAAAAAACACACAATCAATCCAATATACAAGTATTTACTTTTTTTTTGCTCCGGCCACCCCTTAGGAGTAGGCGTAGAGTAGATCTCGGCGTGTTCTTCAGCAAGTACGGCTGCATCGATCCGGTCGACCTTCACTGCTTGTATGTAAGTACCGTCATGGCTTATACCTCTGTTCGTACGGCTGCATCGATCCGATCGACCTCCACTGCAACTCTGGTATAAGTTAGTTATCGATTCTTGTCTAGTTTAAGTATGGCTGCATCGATCCGGTCGACCCCCACTGCATGAACTAGATCAAGGTCAAGTTATCGGCTCTATCTTAGAATGACAGTCTTTGGTAGATTCATTACGTTACCGATATTGCTTATTGCCTCTATTATTTATCTAATTACAACAATATCACTCTGTCCGATTGGGATTGATCTACATCGGCATTATATCTTGTTTAACCCATCGTTTGTTAATCTCAAAACTGATCTAATCTACACCTTAAACGATGAGTTATGTTTTATCGGCTATTTTATGTCAATCTTGATCGTGCATAGCGTGCGGTTAAGGCATGTTGCGTCTTGAGTCGATCTATTGGCTAGCAAAAACCGTTTCATGGCCTGTGTGATTCTGCCTCACACTCCACTATTAGCACCGTGGAGTGGGGATCATTATTTAGTAGATCTATTCCTGATAAGGCATGCCCTTAACTGTGCGCTATGCCTGAATCGGCTGTTTTAGCCGATATCGAGTGATTTCACGAACAGTTCGCATCACGAGACCGTTGAAGTAAAGATAGGTTGAATGATGTGTTAGCTCCATGATCTTATTATTGTATTATGGCCTGCATGATTCTGCCTCATGCCCCACTGATATTAGTAATGAGTTAGGGTCGTCGAGTCTATTGTTGTTTCTATGGCCTGCATGATTCTGCCTCATGCCCCACTGGTCATAGCGATAGATGAGATCTAACATGTTCATTAGATTTATCTTTATTAAATGGTTAAATGGCATTGAATTATTTCTTTATATAAAAGGGGTTCAGTTACTTGTAATCATTTGCTCAGTATAAACCAATCACATTGATATCTTATTGCCATTAATTAATATTTGCTCAAATGATGATATTTGTCCTGAATGATAACCGATTATTTTTACACAACCACATGAGTTTTAACTGATTTATTCTTATGAATATGCTGAAATCGACTATTTAGTCGATCTCCTTTCATATCGACTCTCAGAGCCGCACATTCGGGACTGTCTGGCAACACCGGCATGTTCCGCTCTTAATTACTGATAAAATTTCTCTCCTTGTCAATTGCAGGGTCAAATTGACTGGCACATCTCGGGAGGATTGCGATGGATCGACCATCCCTACGCTGAAGCCAGGAGGATCTCCAGCTCCATTGAGTATACTCTTCCGACTTGCTACGCGTGTCCTCGGCACGGGACAAAATTTTACGTCGAAAGGATCAAAGTGGAACCTAGGAATCGTCGGGCCTCGAGCGTGTGACAGATTGCCAACCGTGGTGCAAACAGACACCACAGTCCAGCTTGATGTTCTCAAATATTTATAGCCGAAGGGATGTTAAAAGTACTCCTATTATAGTAAGAAATAATTTAATTGTTGTGTTTGATTGTACGAGATGACAGGGAATGGAAAACTAAAAAATATCACAAGTTCTTTATAGATGTTGGTAAGTTCGCTCACCAAGATACTTTAGACTTCAATATCAAGTCCATGAGCTCATTTCTTCGTACAAGATGTATGGAGTAAACAAGTGATGACAAGAGTTCAAGTTTTTTTTTTAAAAAAAAGATCGACAGGAGTTCAAGTGGAATTTTTTGAACCTCTATAATAAGCTCACAAGCAACTATCCTTACAAGTAAAAGAAAATTAGTGAAAGAAGTGATACCCATCAATGTTAAGGCTTACCTGCTAAGACATTTAGTTTGCTCTTTCTCATTAGGGATGGAAAGAAGAAGGTGACATCTAGTTTGTTAATGTGATAATGAGCAACAATGCAGTGATTGGTTCCCAACCCATGAATCACAAATAATTGAAGCCATAAGATAGATCAATTGAGAATTGGTAGAAAAAAGCAGATACTGCCTTCTTGGTCCTTTCTAGCACTTCAAATTCAACTCTGTATCTAACTTCCAAGAAGGTGACATTTAGTTTGTTAATGTGATAATGAGCAACAATGCAGCGATTGGTTCCCAACCCATGAATCACAAATATCTGAAGCAAGAAAGCAGATCGATCGAGGATTGACTCCAAAGAAGATAATGCCTTCTTGTTCCTTTCTAGCATTCTAATTCAACTCTGTATCTAACATTCAATACAGTGATAGGTTTAAGAATATCACACTACAAATACTTGTGCTAAGAAATTTATGCAGATATACATTCAGGGAAAAAATTCAAATCATGTCATATTGCTACTATCAATTGGAATTGAGAAAAAAGATCATTGTCCATCGTTGACAAATCTAATAACAGTGATATAATTTATGCCTTAAGGCAGAATCTCCATATACCTGAAAGCTAGAGATCTGAATCACAAACTTCTAACAATCCCCTTTCATCAGTTTGTAGAGTGGGAGGCAATCAGGGCATCCTTCCGGTCGAGCCCACTCAAAGTCCTGCCTCATGGCATACTGCAATGCATCAAAATGCTCTTCATTCCTCACCAGGAAATACAATCCCTTTGGCAGTCCCGACATACACAGATGGTGAGGAAATACACAGAACGACATAGCACTCTTGATACTGATATGATACCCTGCACGCACTCTGCTGCCCTTGTCGCTCACCTGATCCAACCTCCCTGATGGGAGACAGTGCATCAGCATCTGATAGAACGTGTCCCTTTCCATCACATGCACATCATCCATGTCCGCCGCCATTCCTGGCATCCTTAAATTGTCAATGCCAAGCGAATCGATGCAGTTTAGATCATTATCTTCACAAGTGAGGCCATCCTGCGGAGCATTGTGTTTATTGAGAATGGACGAATGGGATGGCCATTTCTTCCAACACCATGGGGGCGTCCCTTGAGCAGCTGCTATTTGAGCTTCTTCAGTGCTGCGCCGCCCCACGCCACTTCTCGGGCTGCAGTGCTGCTATGTCCTTGCCGGCGCGGCGGTGGGGAAGGTGCGAGATGGCGCGGGCGACAGAGTACGTCGAGCGCGTGGGCCGGCGGGCGAGGTGGCCAAGCGCCGCAGGCATGGTCAAGGCACACTGTTGGTGAGCAGGCGGTACTGCGATGTCATCGGCAAGGAGGCCATCAAGCCCACAACACCCACACTTGGACGCAGCGGCGTCTGTCTTCTCGCTACGGCCGCGTTCCAGATGAGGGCGGCACGGCCCGAGATGTGGGCAGCTGGTAGCGTAGGAGGCGTCGGCGGGCTGCGAGCGACGCGGCAGGTGAAGGGCGGAGACCGGCACCTTTCGCAGTGCTCTGGGGAGACATCCCTGTTGTGGTGTCCTCGGCTCGCCGCGACGCCTCGCCGGTGGGCAGCGCTCGAGCTTGTGGTGCGCGGTGGTGATTCGGGTACGGATGGCCCGGGCGGGCGCTCGCTCGATCGGGACGAGCCCGAGAAGGTTCCCGAGGTTTCGGGCCGACTAAGAAGCGGGTTGAGATCCGAACCGATCCAAATCTAACGGATGATATTGCGAGCTAGCTCGATCCGACGGTCAGTGGGTTAACGGGCGACGTGGCGCTATCGGGTGCCCGAGCTTGGACCCTGGATTCGAAAGGTAAAGATAAAGATTCTATTGCAGTTCAATAACATGTTTACAAGTTTCAAAATAAAAGAGAAAAAGAGAACTTATGGACCTATCCCCGTGGGCCGCAATAGGGTTGAGCTGACTAACAGTAGTCTCCCCTGTACAGGAAGCCTCTTCCTGAGCGAGTCATTGTCCCTACTCCCTAGAGCTAGAAGACGACGACGACGACGTAACGGGCTCATCGTCTTCCCCAGCTCAGGCGATCTCCACTGCCGCCGCCTCCATTCCATTTCAGCAACAGCTCTCAGCGTCGTTCCTTCTCTGCCCTACACTATCCGTGTGCCGGCCGTGCTCATCTCCTGCGGTCCCTACCTGGGTAAATCCTGCAACCGGCTCATCTGCCGCCACGCCGGGTCGCTGCGGAGCGCTGCTGACCTTCTCCGTTCCCCTCCAACAAAGCTATCCAAAAGCGACGAGTTGCTGCTGTTTCTCGGTAAGCCCAGATTTGCTTGACTTCTCGGCTAAATCCCGAGTAGCCTCCCTGATATCACTGGGGTTTCGCAGGACCCTGGGCGCGTCCGCCGCGATGGGTGGAGGCGTCTGGGTTTTCCGGTTGGCTTCCCTTCTTGCGCTTGGTTTTGTGCTCAGCCGCGTCGAGGCTAGCCTGGGAGATATTGATCCGCGGTACAGGTGAGACGCATCTCTGGTTGGTTCTCGAATTTTGACTTGTCTCCAGCAGTGGTATTGTATTCTTGCCTGAATTGTTTTCTACTCCGTACATCCTTGTACGGGGATTATGCTGTGGGATTCCTTATACGGGGATTGTGCACAAAAGTGCTCATGGTTAGACTATTGTTGATAGTTAATCCTTGTAGTTAGTAGGTACCATAAATCTTGGACAAGGCATTGCACTCTTGGTCATCTTATATCGTGTAAAGATCTGTTCCTGTTTGAATTGTGGTTGATGTAAACTCACTTGCTAACTAGTTGGTTACATAAGAACATATTCAAACTGAGAAGGGTGCCTCAAGTAGATCACATTTTCAAAATAAAACAGCCCAATAGCTGTAGTAAATGATCATTTGATTAAGTAACTTGCTTTCTTTGATAAGTAAAAGGGATCTCAGTGTCCTGTGAGAAGAGATGTGAAGCAACCTGAGATGGAATTTTTCTAGAACAAGGCTGACTGCCTGGTATTTTAACAGCACACAAGTTGTAGCAAACTGTACAACACTTCCTTGGGAGTTGGGAACTAGAAGCTTGTGCTTAATGATTTCTTTTTTTTGGAATCGGTGGAAATTATGAATTACACACACTTATGCACATCTGGCTTATTCTATTATGGCTGCCCTTTTGTTCTTTTGCTAATATATTGAATTTGAAATTTCTGACATATTAATATCATTTAGAAGAGAAGTATTCACTTCAGTGGTGTGATGCGAATACGTGGTCTTGCTCAAACCGTGGATCGCAATCGGCAAAGTGTTTTTGTTAACTGAAGTTGAAAGTGCTAGCGTGGCTGTAGAGTGTCCAAGGGGCGTAGTTTTCACATTTATACTGTTGACAAACTGTAACAGTTCTCAGGGAAAACTTTTATAAGTTTTTGTCCTTTGGTAATCTTCAGGGGTTCAAATACTAGATATTACTAGAAATCACGCGCGGCGTTGCCGTGCTACTGGGCCATCTTGCCATGCGTGAGTCTATAGAGACTAATCTGAGTTTCTTTGAGTATTTCAATTATTAGCTCAACACGATCTAAAAACTGTCTTTCTGCAAGCAACCTGCTAGGCAAAGTATATTATTCTGGTTTCAGAAAACAACAATATAGTATGCAATTCTGGGGGGGTTTCACAAAATCAAAAGCAAGGTTTATCACAGAGAAAACATGGGCGCATACAAACAGAACACATGGGTGCTTGCCTCCAACTCTTTGTTGGATTCTAGAGAGAATCGCATTGATGAAACATGCATCCACATCTTTCTGTTAGCATCAAAAGCTAGTGAATATTACTTAATGTAGCATATTTATGAGGAATTCCAGAGGGGACAATAATGGATGATGCAATGTCTATGCGACTGCGGCGGCGACATGGTGAGAGGAGGCAGAGAAGGAGCTGCTCGTGAAGCCAACTCTCTACGCCCATCAGCCATCAAGCCGGCTTTCTCCTATGCTTGCTATCAATGCTCCACCAGGAATCGCTCCTATGCTTGCTCCGTTCGCTAGGTGCTCGAGGCCTCGCCGGCGTGGTCAACCTTGGGCAGCAGCCACAGGCCACAGGAAGTCCATTTCTAGCGGTGCCTCTCGTCGTCCTTGGCACCAAGCTTTCTGCACAGCACGCGTAGCACACCTCATAGCCAGAGAGATGAAGTAATGGAAAATAAAGAAAACATATATTGTTTGAGGATAGTAAGATAGAAATAACCGTGCATTATAGAGATAATTGTGTACAGTTAACTTATTGATTATAGAAATGAATGTATTAGACAAAGACCATTAGGCTTTGTATATTCCTTGATAATGGATTACAGAAGGGATTACACTTATATAGGAGAGAGAGGGGATGGCCCAAGGGGCCAGCAGTGTGAAAGGGCCAGTATAGCTGGCGCCTGCATAGTTAGCTAGGAGATTACAGTAAATGAGCAATTAATTCTAACAGAATGAATATGTTTAATGTTAATATCTGAAGCATATATATGTGTGACTGCCATGAAAAAGAAATAAATAACTGAAGCGCTATATTTTGGAAGATCAAATGTTACATGTCCAGATTGATAAAGCTAATTTCAGAGTTGAATAAATCCATTTTTTTCAGAGAAAAAAGGAAAAAAAATGCTACCCTAGATAATAATGCCTAATCTCCCTACAATCAACATTTTACTACATAATAAATATAGCTAATACTACATTCTATCATTTTTTGTGCTGGAGATTGTTGAGAAAGGCACTACAGAGATGTATCTATTCTTGCATACCAGCATACATTTTTCTTGCAATGCTATTCTTGCATAAATAATCCTTGGGTAATTACAGGTTGAGCTCGAAATACATAGTGTGATTGAAACATGCACCTGTATCTTTCAGAAGATATAGCCTCTGAATTCAAATTGTGGACCACGAATTGATCAAAGGACATGCTCGATGTACCTGGTCAAACATGTTGAACATTAGTGTTTATGTTTTTTTGTGAAATAAAATAGCAGATATAAAACCTCATATCTATTTGAAAACGACTATCTTTGATAGCACACAGTAGATGCTAAGCTCATCAAAATGGGATCATATGTTCCAGGCAATGTCAGTTAATTTCTGTAATTTACTTGGAATTTGTGTATATCATTTAGATCTCTATAGAATTTTGAGAAATAAATGCAAAAATTTAAGACATACATTCAAACATAACAGCCTTATAAATTAGATTTGTACTCGTATAATTTGGCAGTTATAGTTCTGAAGACACAGCCTTATAAATCATGAAATGAATAACCTTGAAGGTAATAGTAAAGTCAGGACTGCATATAACAAGCCTTGCCTTTGTCCCTAGTATACTTTAGTAAGCATATTAGTAGCATTGGGAACCTATTCCACTCACTCTCTTTACTGTTTCAATTCATGCAATCCTGCATGGTAAGATTAGAGGAAGACGATTTATGTTCATGTACTTGCGTATTTTCATATATAACTGCGTGCCTAGTGTTTTTTTTTTTTTTTTTTGGGGGGCGCTGAATTTGGCACATAAGGAAAAGAACCATGTCTATTCAGATTGTAAAGACAACGTAATTAGCTTAATGTTTAGCCGAGAATTTGAAATCAGATGTGCAAAGGGAATTTCATTATTTGGAGGATCCAACCAAAGAGGGAAGCTTTTGCTTACTAACCTGCAGCGGAAAAAGGAACTAATTAATTACAAATTCTGCAGCAGCGCCTTCTTATAGAATTGGATGTCAACCAGGTGCGTTTGCCTGTGTTCTCAGGATCATCAGCTAGCAAAAAAGAATCACAAATTCTGCTAGCAGGGAGCGCCGATGCGGATTGAATCCAGCCGGCCCACGCTGGGAGCCAAGAACCAAAGGTTCTTATGCCGAGAAAACGTACCGGCGCGCGGCCTCCCCAGCACCACCCGCAGCTCCACATGAGGCGCGGAGGATGACGGATTGGCGGTGACATGGGAGCACTGGCAATCGGCAAGAGTGAGCGATGACGGGTAGGGGCGCGGCCGAGACCGGGGTTGGGGCCTCTCTTCTACGCCGATGTGGGCGGCCGAGGACGGGGATGGCTGTGAGGCGTGAGACTGCGCCGCGCGCTGCAAGGGTGCTCGCCGTGGCCGAGGAAGCGCCGCGCGGGGAGGAGGCGGTCGTGGAGAGAGCAATGGCTGGAGGCACGGGCGGCGGCGGCCACATATGTTAACCACATATGTGCACTACTTTATGTTACTAGGTGCCAAACATCATGGCTATTCATCCCAGGTGCAATTAACCAGTTCAACATTTGCAGTTACGACTTACACTAATACTTTCCACATTTGTTTGCTTGTGACATTTGTAGTATAATCAACCTTGACGCAGACATCTGGCATGCATCTATTATTCTCAATTTTTTCTATTCAGAGAGAAAACAGTAGGTTTTGTATTGTACCTTAGTTGTGTCATTGTATATTGTGTTGGCCTGTGTACGGGCCTGCTTGGTTTGAGCCCAAGCGTTGTGCCTGAGGGGAAGTGCTGCCTGAAGGTAGCCTGAAACTTTGATGAATTTTGCTTGTTCAGGCTATACTATGTGTGGTTCATACCTGAGCCTGAGATTGAATTAGTTGCTAATGTATCTTTGCGATGTCCATAAAATATTTGCTCAAATAATTGTTTTCTTAGATGAAAACTATTGGTACATACAATTTTCAAAGCTGGAATATGGATAGATGATCATTTTAAATTATTTTACCCTTGTCATAGAACAACATGTTTGTGCATCCATCTTCCTGTGGAGAGGTAAAAGTAAAAAAAAAACATCTATTAGGCGGAGTGCAATATGCAGTAGCATCATTGAGCATTAATGGCATGAATCAACAGTAATTAACAATGCACTAAAAATGAGTAATGGATGTGAGAACACTGATTGAGTCTGCTGACCACCTTTGTGTGCCTGAGTAACCAAACAAGGTACAGGCAGTGACCAGGGATGCAAAAGGCTAAAGCGTTAATCTACACAGGGCGACTCCAAACAGACCCTACAAAAGTTACTCAGGGCTCAATCCAATATACCTGTGTACCTGTGGCATTTTTTTAAAAGACATGGCGTAGCTGTCTGCTTCGTTATAGTGAACTCTTTTTTACCAGAGTAGCTCATTCCAATGTAGCTGTTTCAGAGGTAGGCAGAAGTGACTAACATATTTTTGTGGTAGTGTCTTTGTCCCTGGTGAACCAAACCATTGTTTGTTTTTTTTGGTAATGCGGATGTTTTTTGCTAGCATTTGTTTGCTTCCATACGTTGGCATTACTCTAAATAACTTAACTTCGCCAATGCATTTGCACTACCAAGCTCAGGCAAATTGGAGTGGAGGCTTGCCGAAGATTTGGCAGAGCCAACAGAAGGTCTTGGGTGAGGTGGCCCTCTTGACTGTTTGCATGGACTATGGAATCTCTTGGTTATCTAAGCTTCAATAGATTTTCTTTTTTCTATTGAACTGTGCATTGGATTCATAATCTGTTGGAACCAACTTATTCCTTGGAATTAAATTAAATCGAGAACCATGATGATTGATGAATATATTGTGACACCAAAAATATAATGACATATGGGGTCCACATGTTGTACACATATTCAATAGATTTTGACAGTATTGGCATGGTTACACTCCAGCAAACCTATTATGGAAATTTTGGTCATGACCGGTTCTTGTGGTGACCAAATATTGGCAGGGTTGCTAACTTCTTTATTGCTTAGTCTGAGATAATGTGTTCTTTGGTCTTTTGATAGAGGAGCTAGAACTACAATAGAATCTAATCCAGCACAACTAAGCGATATCCAAATAAAAAATGGCTAACTAATGCTTCTGGTTCTGGTAAGCTGCAGCTGCTACTGCATGGCTTCTGTTGGCTCTCTGTGACTGTTGGTGTACCTCTCCATAGTTACAGAAGTCTAACACGGACAGCCTAACTAAGCTGTTTGCTAGGAATTTTACAAACTTTAGTCAAATAGTCAATGTATGTTCTCATAGTCTCCAAATTTCATGTTTCAAGTATACAAGGCAGTTGTATTGTGAGATATGCTTAATGGTACTAGGATTCATTTTGCCTTCCATGGTTATGTTACATGTTTGCATTATTTAATATTTATTTCTTGTAGGCTCTTTTCATATTGCATATGCAGATATGCTACTAGCCTATTACCAATAACACTCAACAGTATTTTGAAATTAATTTTATTAAATTTTAGCATCTTTTTCCGTGACTTGGGGCTCTTGGTGGGTTTCAACTCTAGCCTACCCCAACTTGCTTGGGACTGAAAGGCTATGTTGTTGTTGTTGTTGTTTAGCATCTTTTTTATTTTAATGAAGCACTAGCTGAGTATGCTCTTTTTTTAGCTTCCCATTTTCCTTAAATAAAATATCACTAGATGTCACATTAATTGTCAATCCAAGTCAGTGTTCAAAAGGCGCTTCATGTGCTCGCCTTAGGCGCACCTCTACGCTGGGCGGAGGGGTACCGCCTTGCCTAGGGGGGTAGGCGGTGCCAGCCCGGCGGCGGCGGTATGCGCACCGGTGGGGGAGGAGGAGCGTCAGGCGGAGGTCGCCGGTGGGGGAGGACGAGCGTCACGTGGGCGCGGGCTTGTGCGGGTGGCGTCGGGCGCAGCCTGTTGGCGGTGGTATGCGCGTCGGTGGGGAGGAGGAGCGTCGGGCGGAGGTCGCCGGTGGGGGAGGGCCGTCATGCAGGCGCGGGCTTGTGCGGGCGGCGGCGGGCGCGAGCGCTGCGGCTGGGTGGAGGAGGCGGATGGATGAGGTTGCAGTGTGTAGGATGGGCACTCTTAATGGGCCTTTCTATGTAATCTAAGCCCACTATTCTGCTGTTTATTTTTTTCTTTTAGATGTAATATATGTCTACTCTGCTGTTTATTTTTTGTTTTAGATGTAATATATGTATATGTATATGTATAAAACGCCTAGGCTCGCTTAGGCGCTAGGCGGTGGGTTACCGCCTAGAGAGCGCCTAGCGCCTAATGTAACCTTGATCCTAGTTGATGCCATACTGTGATACTGATGTAATTACCCTTTATTGTGATGAATTGCTTCAACTTACTACTATTTAGGAGCTTATGAAAAACTTTTGTTCTGCTGATCAATCTTTAGAACCTGCGTGAGGGAGTGTCAGACTACAGGGATTACTGGGGAGAATATCATCAGCCACTGCCAGTCCAAAGAGAATGACACATCTGTTGGAGGTTCTTGGTACAACCAGGAGCAAATTTATGTGCAGTGGAAACAACTGAACTGTATGACAGATTGCCGCTACTTCTGCATGATGCAGAGAGAAGGGGAACGACAATCACTTGGCCTGAGCCCTGTGAAATATCATGGCAAATGGCCTTTCTTACGTGTTTCTGTGTTCCAGGTATGTTTTGTGCTGACGGGATCCTGAGTTAACAATTTTTTCTATCATTAGTTGTTGACGGCATCTCAGTTACATCTGACAACCTTCTTCAGGAACCTCTTTCAGCTGCACTATCTGCTATCAACCTATTAATGCACTTCACTGGCTGGCTTTCATTTTTCCTTCTAGTGAATTACAAATTACCTCTTAGACCCCAGACGAAGAGAACTTACTATGAATATACTGGCTTATGGCATATCTATGCAATTTTATCAATGAATGCATGGTTCTGGAGCTCCATCTTCCATACTAGGTATGAAGTTTCTCAGAGCCCTTCAATATATTATGAAACTTGGAAGTACTACTGTAATCTGCGGTATCTAATTCCACATGCTTATTCTGTAGAGATATTGACTTGACTGAGAAATTGGACTACTCTTCAGCTGTTGCGCTGCTTGGATACTCGTTAATCCTTTCGTTGCTAAGGACTTTCAATGTCAAGGATGAGGCTACCAGGGTGATGTTTGCAGCCCCTATTTTGGCATTCGTTACAACACACATCTTGTATCTTAACTTCTACGAGCTTGACTATGGTAAAGCTGCTATCACTTTTAGCTAGACATTTGCCATTGTTATACGATGATTAATCTCACTTTTATATATGTTGCATATTTTAACAGATTTTACAATCTCCTGCTGCTAGTTTTACCATGCCTTTTTTTGTAATACAGCAACCATGTATGCCTCTTTTTAGCTACAGCTGTACATTTGTTAACAAAAGCCATACAAAAGTACAGTCATTTGTGATCTAGTAATGACTTTTCTTCAGTTTTTGGTTCACACAAACTAGTTGCATCTCTGCAAGATATTTAGGTATGCTACTCAAATGTTTATCTGCTGAATCTTTTGTCAGGATGGAACATGAAAGTCTGTGTGGTGATGGCTGTGGTTCAACTTCTGTCATGGGCAATTTGGGGTGGCGTAAGCAGACACCCATCACGTCTCAAGCTTTGGACAGTTGTTTTGGAGGAGCACTAGCTATGCTTCTCGAACTCTACGACTTTCCTCCATACATGGGCTATGCTGATGCCCACTCTCTGTGGCATGCGAGCACCATTCCACTCACGTATCTCTGGTGGAGCTTCATTAAGGATGACGCTGAATTCCGCACCTCAACACTCATCAAGAAGGCAAAGTAAGCAGAGGGCCAAAGGTTGGTTAACATAGGATCTTGGAGGGTCAGATCTCATGGTCTACTCAAGGAACATTGGGACAGTTGGTTATCGGACATGAAACCTCGGTATATTTGCCCCCTTCATGCTCATGTCGTCAGTCCCAGAAAGACATTCATCTTCATCCACTCGTGGTTTTGGTGCACAAACTCAGCATCATCTGCTTTCGAGTACATACTATGCCCTTCTGATTGACCTGAACGTATATCGTGTGATTGAATCGGCATCTTATCTTTTCTGTACCGGTGGGGCTTGCAAAATTCTTGTCATCGCCAAAATCTATTGTGCGAAATTGGACTGAACAATGGACATGAAACCTTTGTAAGGGCAACTCCAACCAACGTCCTATCCCAGCCCTCGTCGCATTTTGAGGGTCCAAAATGCAAAAACAGCTATCCAACCGGTCTCCTATCAGATCCCCGAAAGATGAGGATGCCTCATTTCTCTCTCCTCGTCCCTCATATCTAAGGGACTCCTCATCCGTCAGAGAGGACCAATGGCCCCCCCCCGAGTTCTCCGAGCCGATATGTCCTCATCCTCCTCTTCTCGTTTTGGCGTCGCCCATGGCCGCCGCTGCTCACGTGCCTGCGTAATCCCTTCTGTTGCCGCGGCGCACTTGTGCCAAGTCCTGCGGATCTCGCCCCTGCTGCTGCGCCTGCTAAATCTGCCTCTTGCTCGGCCGTGCTTCGCGACTTGCTAGAGCTCGTGACCTGCTGCGCAGCCTGCCGGAGCCGCCGTCTAGTCGCTCCCTGTTTGCCGGCCTCCCGGAGTTCGCAAGTGCTGCTGGCCCCTTGGAGCGTGGCCGGCAGCAGGTCACCCCTTGCTACGCGGCTAGTTGCAGCTCGCTCCTGGATTTGGATTTGTTTAATAGGTGAAGAACGACCCACTGCAGCTTGCCCCTAGATGCGCTGTAGGTGTCAATTAGACCTTTTTTTTATTTATTTAATAGCAGAAGAAGGTTCTGTGATTATGAGATGGTCAAAATTTCCTGTAGAACTTATCTCAAATTCACGAGATTTTTTAGACCCATTGAGTATTATCCGGTTGTTGTAGACAGATTAAGGTCTTATCATTTAGTTGTTCAAGTTGATTTGTGTGTTCTTAGAATTATTTAGAATTGGGTTGATCTAGTTTTTGAGCAATGGGGACACCAATGCGAGTTACATTGATTTGCTCTCGAGGCAATGGGGACAACAATGATCTATCTTTTGATGACTTTAAAGTTGAAACACATGATTGTACTCCCCCTGAAACCAAGTAAGAAGAGGACTAGAAATTTTATTCCCCAGGAAGACAATATGTTGGTGAAAGCATGGCTAGAAATTAGCTTGGATCCAGATTCAAGGCAATCGATCAAACTCAGTAGTACCTATTGGAAGCGAATTCATGATTATTATCATGAGCACAAGACTTTTGAGTCCGAAAGCGTAATATCGCCTTCTCTCTCTCACCGTTAGGGTATCATCCATAAAAGTGTTAATAGATTTTGTGGATGATATACTCAAGTTCGTAATTAAAAGAAAGCGGTTGTTGTGAGCAAGATAAGGTAAGTTGTTTAATTATGTTAATTGATTGAAAATGTATATCTTTTGTGCATGGTAGCCAACACATGTTTCTTGTCTTGCAGAGATAGAACGGGCAAAGGAATTGTACCGGGAAAAGAAAGATCCAGAGAGGAAACCATTTATTTTCATGCTTCTTTGGAATAAGCTGCAGCATGAGTGTATGGGCTGATCTAGGTTGTGAGACCTCTCAAAGCTCTTAGAAAAAACACAAGACTTCCTTAACCACAAGTCCAGGTCATATACACCAGAACTCATGAAAGTATTTGATGAAGAGAATGGACCAAGTCATACATCACCAAGGAAAGAAAGGCCGGATGGTAAGAAGAAGTAGAAAGCACGCAGAGGTAAAAATCCTAACTCTCAAGGAGAAGGCCTTTACATGGAGGCAATGGAAAAATTGTGGGCAAAGAGATAAAAAGGCAAGAGATGAGGGAGATTAAGAAAAAGAGCGTAATAATGAGAGGCTTGCGGTAGAGATTGGAAGGCTTGAAATCAAGCAACAAGTAGCAAATAGGAAGCTGGATTTAATGCAACGAGAAATAGAGTTCAAACAGAGAGAAGATGATGAGAAAGTTATGAACATGGACCTTAATGGTATAAGTGAGCGATAAAAGATATTTTATAAGACATTGCAGAATGAGATCATTGCTCGACGTTGTGGTGGTGGCAACTAGAAGCATCGTGTTTATTTGTCTTTTGTGTGTGTACTATGAACTATGTTTATTTAAATCATGTACCAGTATGTTTGTTATCCATGGAACTCTATAAGAACAATTTGTGCCAAATTTGTGTGCGAATATATTGATCCATGAAATCAACTGGTACTCCATAACTAAGCATTAAAAAAGCTAATCTTTTGCAAAAATGATAACCCGAGACGTCCAACTCTATCTCTTTTACGCTCAAAGTAATTATCATGTTGTTTTCACAGCTTGCACTATACGAAGGTATAGCGTACGAGACATCCTAAACCTGAGGGACAAATCCAAACTAAGCAAACATAGACAGGAATGTGGATAAAGAAGGTACACAAAAATTAACAAGCTATTAGCAATCCTGCGCTAGAAGAAAGGTGGCCCGTAGGTTGGATTTTCGGAGAAATAACCATTGTACAACCTCCAATGCCCACTTTCTCTGTCCCGATGAATGTACTGACGCCCAAGTACAAAACCACCCCATCGTGGAGCACAGAGAGCTTGATATTGAGTGTGTGCTTGGTGTAACGCAGTAAGGGTTTCCTCAAGAGCATCATCACCATCATTGGATGAAGAAGATGAATCTAGTCGGGAGAGACGACTCATTTTGATGGATAAGAAGCAGCCCAATATTGAAATTGGTTCAGTGAAAGGAATGGCCATAAATATATATAGACGAAAAAATATAACCGCTTGCAGATAGAGCGGTATCGGGTTCATAAACCCGGGTCCCCAATGGACCCGCTTCCACCGCAAAACCGGCCCAGCAGGTAGCCTTGGCGACAACACGCTACGCTGGACCGCCCAGATACATAATGACAAAGCCGAGACAACGATCCGGTCCCCGCCCGGAAGCCCTAGCCAAGGTGGGACCGCAGTCCGACTCCGACCAAGGATACGCCAGACCTCTGCTCGCTGCTCTTTCCTGACTGACATGGTCGGGACCGACTAGGAACGACTGACCGGGGACGCCCGCTCGGTGAGGGCCCGGGGATCAGGTGGAGCAGATAAGGTAAGGTGCTCAAGTCAACCGCAATACCGAGGACCGTATCCTTCCATACCCTACGCACCTACAGGATGGTACCACCAGGTCATGCCGGATGGGCACTATACAACCTTCCGGATGTGTCAGAGCACAAACAGTATTGTAGACGCCGACGTTTGTAGTACCAGACGAACATGGTAAAGCCTGCCAGATGCATCTGAACATAAACAGTATTGTGGACGTCTACGACCGTCTTATATCCGACAGCGTGGGCAACAAGACTAGGTAGCACACGTGTACATTCTCTCTTTTCTCTCTGACTTGTAAGGCTATCATCTTTGTTTATAAAAGGGGATGCGTTCTCTCCCAACAAAAAGAGGCTAGACGACTCGAGGACTCGAGGACATGAGGACTTGAACAGCTCAACAGCTCTAGAACTCGACAGCTACACAGAGCATACGCTCCAATACTTAGCGCATGTTAGAAAACCCGTCACACTCTTCCATTCGGTTCAGAGTCCGACCGGGCCTCTAACACCCCTTTCTCATTCCTTACTCGTTTGTAACCCCACAACAAACTTCAAGCACCTGGGCTCAGGAATAAAGTCACCGACCGACTGAAACTGGACGTAGGACACGTTGCCTGAACCAATATAAATCCTTTGTCATCGCGTGTTAGGCCACATCCGATCACAACGTACGGCAAAACTATAAATATTTACTTGTCGGTCACATTTCGCACCGACAACGACCGTTTGATTTATAGCCGTGGGAAGAGCGACCGTTTGATTTATAGCCATCGGAAGAGCGACCATTTGATTTATAGCCGTTGAAAGAGCGTCAGTTCAAATATATAGCCATTCTAAGACTGACAAATAAAAAAATATAGTTGTAAATTATTTGAAAAAGTAATTCCTCCAATATTTAGCCGTACAAAATTATCATTAACAAATATCCATTCTAATAATACTAACACGGTTTTAGATATAAAATGCTGGACTTAGTAGTTACAAGTTATGTATAAAATATAGGTGAGAGAAAATAGAGAACCTAAAATGAGAGTTCGGTTGGAGATCAAGGAGAAACGAGGGCTAGAATCTAGATGAGGGATTCTTATTTGTGGGAGTAGACGGCCAAATTTTGAGAGGTTAGTTAGAGTTGCCCTAAGATCCTGAATGCTTGCTAGGCCAACATCACCCACGAGTACCTTAGATCCTGCTCTAAACTCCTAGAGTTCCAGTGGATTTGATTCGTCTAGTGCGTTCGATTTGATTCGTTCAGCGACAATCGATTGGGTCCCTTTCAGCCGGATCTCTCAAAAGGGAATGGGGACGTCTTGTCATGCCCACTAACTAAGGTGACTGTCTCGTCGGAGACAGGAACGAGTGGACAACAAAGTTTTGCAACTTGGGAGCTTTTGAAGGTGGCGAGTGATTTATGTCACCGAGAACTGAAAGAAACATTTACTCGAACTCTACGGATGTTGGGCTGGTGAGCTCGAGCCGCATTTGAGGAGCGTCCGAGAAATTGGGCAGGGCCGCAGTGCAGCTCTACGAAAAAGGGTGATTGTGCAGTAACAAGTGTATAGCACACAGATTTTCTTCCAAGTAGAGTATCTTAGCACTTTCTCTCACTGGTAAAGTGCTGGGGAACTCGAGTCGGTGCGTGACAGGCGATAATAACGACGTTAAAAGTCCGATTGCGCTTTCTTGTTGTGGCAGGT